GTTTCTAGCTGCTGCTGTTGGCTTGTACACAACTGATGCACAGAAATGCTGTCTCTTAAAACTAGAATAAAATTATTCTAAAATTCACAAAAAAATGAAGGATTACCCATATGAGCTAATTAATAAACCAAAATAAGAAGATATGGTTAAATATCTGTGTTTTCACTAAAACAATAAACATGTTTACAGCTTCTGCCGTTAGCTTAATGGCCGTTATCTAGTACACAACTGACGTACACAAACCAGAAACGTAGTTTAACTACTCTTAAAACAACAATAAAATGCTTCTAAAATTCACAAAACGATGAAGGATTACCTATAAGAGCTAACAAAATAAGAAGATATATTTAAATATCTGCGTTTTCACAAACATGACAATTGACATGTTTAGCTTCTGTCGTTAGCTTAGCGGCCATCATATAGTCTAGTACACAACTCATGCACAGAATTATGATGTCTAAATAATCATAAAACTAAAATAAAACGCTTCTGAAGTTCACAAAAACAACAAGCGTTTGCCTCTAAAACGTCTTAACAATGTGCCAACTACAAATATAGGATGTTTTGATCATTATTACATGAAAATAGGGGGGATGAATCACGAGTGATTTTCAGTCGTTTCTTTGAGAGGAGAGCTCAAAAGCCCCCTAGTGGTGCATGTGGCCATTACCACCTAAAAACGTTTTATCTTCACCTGGCTCAAATTCTGTTTAAAAATTCCTGTTATCATTTTTATCAGAAAAATAACCAACAGATTAACTCTACATTTTCATGCAGAAATTAATATCAATTATTTTTATACAGATGCCAGTGCATCCTTTAATGCAAATGATCAAGCATACATGAAAGGAAAACTATTATTGCATGTTTACTTTCTTTATTAAAAAGAAAAGATTTTTTATTTACATTTTAATGCATTTCTACTATTGTAAAAAAATGTTTACATCTGATTAATCGTTTATTAATTGATAAATTCAAAAATTGCGAATAATAATCTTTAGTTGATGCCTTAACGAATACAATTCCTCAACATTAAATACTGTTTTTAGTCCATTTTTGTCTAGGAAAATCTCTCCTGCCAGGAGATGTTGATATTTCCATAAAGATTTTAATGTATTTCTAATAAGTGGCAGCCCTAGTATAGACTGTAATTTCCTTAAATATAATGACGCAAACATTTATGCAACATAAAAAAAATTTTTTGTTACATTTTATATGAAATAAATTTAATTTATATTTATCCTAAACCTTTTTTCTGTATCTTCCTCTTGTATAGAGTAACTTGGTGCTGTACTAGAGGTATAATAGTTCTCTATCCTTTCTCCTCTGCAGCCCAGCAGGAGAGGCGTGTCAAAGGCAGACTCGGGAGCGATGCTCCTTTCTCAGGAACGGGAAGCTTGGACTCGGGAGAAGCTGCGTCTGGAAAAAGCTTTGCACCTGTCTCAGTCCCAGGTGGCTCGTCTCAGGGGAGAAATTAGGTCCGACGCGCTGCGAGAGATAACCGGGCCTGGCGCCGACAATTCTGCGCTGAAGGTAAGAAAAGTAAGGCTGAGACACACGTTACCTGTACGATCAGGTGTTCACCACAGGCAGCTAATCAGCTCTTCTTCTCCTCTGTCGGTCCTTCAGAGGATGTATGGGAAGTACCTGAGGTCAGAAAGCTTCAGGAAAGCGCTGATCTACCAGAAGAAGTATCTGCTGCTGCTGCTTGGCGGCTTCCAGGAGTGTGAGGAAGCCACTCTGTCGCTCCTGTCCAAGATGGGCGGCCGGCCTTCCCTCTCCAGCCTGGAGTCGTTCAGCCAGCGCCGCCGGGGGTTGAGCCGCTTCCGCTCAGCCGTCAGAGTGTCCATCGCCCTCTCCAGGTGGGCCGCTTGCTGTGGAGGCTCACGATTGTGGACTTTTAAAGGAATTGAGTGGTTGACTAAATGTTTTTCTTGCGTAGAATGCGTTTCCTTGTGAAGCGATGGCACAAGGCGACGGGGATGAGCTCCACGGTTTCCTGCAGCATCAGCAAAAACGGAACAGGTCAGAGAAACAAACCAGTAAAATCATGCTGTTTTTGCTTTTCCTGAAGTAATTTTAGGATAAATTCTTATGCTTTTTTTTTTATTTTTTATTTTTATCTTTTTCAGGTTCAGAGGTGAGAGACTCACCATTTCTTCACCCAGGTAGTGTGGACATGTACAGAGACAGAGGAGCAGGAGGAGGAGGAGTGTCCAGCAGCAGAGGAAGGAGTGGACGGGAATCTCCACGGTCAGGCGTCTCTTCCTCACACCACAGGTTGGATAATACTTAATTTAATCAATTATTCAAATAATCGTCAACTAATTTAGTAGCAGATTAAATGTTAACTGGAGCATACAGAACAAAAAAAGACCATCAGAGCAGTAATTAAGCCACAACTTTACAAAAAAATACCTACATTTGCATTTAAAATAACAAAAAACAACTTTGTAACTACGTCCTACCCTGAACTCAAAGCCATTTTCAAATCTTATAAAAAAAATTATAATTTCCATTCTGATTCAGAATGATTCCCTTCTTTGTGTGAAGTTTTAAAGATTAATAAACATTTGTTAAACCTCAAAGTTATATATTTTTAACCCTTTAACACATTAACATTCAAATACAAGTTGATGATGTAAGTTGTGTGTATTTTTTTTGGTGATTGTGCAGGTTCCACACGGTGGGGGACCACGGCGCTCTGACCTGCTCTCACCTTCAGAGCTACGACCCGGACCGCGCGCTGACCGACTACATCTCCAGGCTGGAGGCTCTGCAGAGGAGGCTGGGCAGCGTGACATCAGGTAACCGGCACTGAACGAAACAAACATCTGAACTCATGAAGAGACAAGTTGGTTTGGATGTCAACCCTTTAAGTTTCACATCTCTGCATGGATATTTCTGCTTATTTTAGTTGTATGAAGTTCTTTAAATGTCCTGTGAGTAAATGTATTTGAAAATTTATCCATAACAGCTGGAACTTTCCATATGTAGCAAGTTATTTTCGCAATTTACCATCTATTAAAAAGTGTTTCATGAGAGTAAATTCAGCTTTATATTTTGATGATGTAATCCGTCTGATGATGTAATTTTTAAATATTAACTGATTGGTAATTTAATCAGCTACTCAGTACTTGAGTACCAAATACTTTTTTACCCTTAAGTAATTTTTTGAACAGCTACTTTTTACTTGAGTAAAAATATGTTGGGAGTATTTCTATTCTTACTTGAGTACAGTTTCTGGGTACTTTGTATTTAAACTTCTGACCAGGTGAGTTTTGTAACACTGGTTGTCCTTTTACTCCCTCAGGTGCTTCTTCATACGCCCAGTTGCACTTTGGCTTGAGAAGATAGACGCTGACCGACTACTTTGGCTTGAAGAAACTCAGTTGCCTTTTCTCGTGCGGAGCGCTCTGCTGTTTTCTATCATCCTGCTGTGAACTGTCTCTCCACGTGGACCAAAACACATTTTTATATTAGCGTACGACTTGTTGTATCCAGGCTTCGTGTCGGCGGCACTTGAAACACAGCGATGTTTGTAATTTAATCTGCCTCTTTGTTGTGGATGATCTTCAATCATGTATATTTGTCTCATGCTAATTTAAAGACGTTTTGTGGTTAATTTATATGTTTGTTGTTGCGTGGGTGGAGCGTTGCGTTGAGAATGTTTGGGTTTACTGTTAAGGAGGCTGCTACTGGATGTTCTTCACTACACTGTGTTTTGTTTAGACCGGGCAGACTAAAGGGAGACATTTGTAGAGAACGTATTTTTGTAAAGCGTAGGAGCTTTGAATTTTTGGGGTATTTTGTCAAAAACTGAAAAATAAAGAGGACTACATTATTTCAAAGGCGTTTCCATTGTTTTGTTTCAGCTGTCAATTAAAAAAAAAATGTCCTGAAAATGGTACTTATATCTGTGCTAAAGAAATTTTAAAACATTTCCAGGGATAAAGTTCATTTCCAGTCAAAAACAACCAATCAGAGCCAGGAGGAAGGTCTTATCCGCCCCTGTCTGAGAGTAATAAATTAAGTATTATTTTACTTACTTAAGTAAGTAAAATAATACTTTGTCCCTTCTTTCTTGGACGCATCAGCCCCGAACCACCTCAACTGGCTCCTCCTGATGTGGAGGAGCAGCGGCTCTAAGTTTTTTTCTTGACATAACTATTTAATGTAATTTTTTTTTTTTTTTTTTTTGTCTTTCGCGGGACTTTTCGTCAGGCAAACGTTTGAGTCGCACCCAGACATCTTCATTAATCGAGATAGACGAGGCTACGGTTAGCTAGCTGCTAATATAAACTAGCTAGCTAACATTTTTAACGTCTATGGTAAGTGTAAATCTATCACCAGTTAGCAGTCGAACTTTATACACTTCTGTGGAGATATAGGTCTTATTACCCTTTAAAAGTCTTAAATTTGTTTGGGAAACCTGCAGAAAGCTGTCTTCTGTAAAATATCCAAATCACTAATAATTTTCGAGTAAACACTAGTAACATGAGCTAACGCTGTCCTATTTCAACCTTTATATAGAGAATGTTTATGGATAAATCTCATTTAGGACATTTTTATCAAAACGTTTTATTCAAACATTTAGTTGGTAATGACTTCCCGTTACACACAACTTGACAAAGAAACTATTCTTATTGTTACTCTTCCAAAATGGCAGACAAATCGGCATATTATTCAGTATATACATGTGTATTTTAATCACTCAAATGGCAAAGCTAGGTTATTTTGTCTCAAGGGAAAAAAGAAAAGTAAAGTCAGAAATAACTTGAAATGAGACAAATTACCCAGTTTTATCCCACCACCAAGCAGCGTGAGTTGAAGGAATGGGGGACGGCTGTGGATAGAAAGGATCTTCTGTAGCAGTCTGTATTACAGAGCATTTGAAGAAGCCTCTGACTTAAGACACCGTTTTTCTATGACCATCTTATGATGAGGATGATCACTTTACACAGTGGTAACGCGAGTTAAAATGTCAACTAGAATCATGTTCTCCTTGTGCACACATGAGCTTTTCCTCCTTTAGAAATGCATTTCAGATTTCATAAACTAAAGAGATTGCAGAGAAGCTGTTAAGGAAGACGATTTATTTTCAAACTCTTAATAAAAGTCAATGGACTTGTCTTCCCATCTGATTTCCACCTGTGAAAACTCACATTAGCTTTGTGTGTCTTAGACAGGAAGCATCTAAAATGATGCTGACATTCTGACCAGTCTTCAGACTTACTGCAGGGCTGACACTGGGAGCATAAATTTGCATTTCCTTCCAGTCCCCAGATGTCAGAGCTTCAATTAAAACTAAACCAAGAAGTTCATGAAAGTCTTTGATTCTCTCATCTACCCTTCGTCTCTCACTGCTTCCTCCTCTTGTATCTGATGATGGGGTTATGCGGGGTGTGAATCATCGTCGTGTAATTGATTGTGGGGAAATATCCGTCCACCAGCTCAAACTCGTACAAGCGCAGCAACGTGGACCAGATGGTCTTGATCTGGACGTAGGCGAAGTTCTCCCCAATGCAGCGGTGGCGACCTGAAGGTGGTAGAGGATGGTAGATTAATTGTTACACAGACTGGTCGGAGGAGTGGTGGTTTAAAAGTCATTACTGTAGTTCCTCTTACCGGCACCAAACGGGATGTAGGCAAACTTGTCAGCAGTGTCGTTGAGGTACCGCTCCGGGCGGAACTCCATCCTCTCCATCCAGGCGTCGCGCAGACGGTGGTTGACGGTCGGGGAGACGCAGACCTGGTGGCCGACGGGGATGGTGTATCCTGCGGCAGTCTAAACAGATATGTAGGCACTTGTTTTGGCTTTAATGTTCCTTAAACTGGGTGTGGAAGTAATGAAAGCATGTAGAGCTAGAAATATAGATGACGTATAAATACTGAATTCACCTGAGGTGTGCGAGCCATCCTCATCATGGTCATTATAGGTGGGCGGAGCCTCAGGGTCTCCTTCAGGCAGCGTTCCAACAAGTTCAGATCCTTCAGCTGAAAAACATCAGAGTAACATTGGAGACTGGTCCAATCCAAGTTATTTCTGGCAGGTCTTACAGTAATCAGATCTGGATGTCGTTAATAAAACCAAATCGTTACTTATTGGCTCTGACCTGATCAAAGTCTAGCGGCGGCAGATCTTCTCCACACACAGCCTTCTGCTCGGCGTAGCAGCGATCCTGAAGAGCTTTGTCCTGGGCCAAGAAGAACCCCAACCAGGCGCTGGTGGTAGACGATGTGTGCTGACCCGCCAGGAGGAGACCAATCAGCATCCCAGCAATTTCGTCATCGGTCAGTGGCCGACCATCTCTGCAATGTGAAGTTAGTTTAGTCCAAATGTTCTGTTTTGGTATTTTAAGATAAACTAAAATCTTAAAATAGGTATGACGGTGTCTTACTTGTAAGTAGCATCGATGAGAGTCTGCAGGATGTCGTCGGCTGTCTCTCCAGATTTCCTCCGCTTTTCAATCACCTTGAAGAAGATGTTCTTGATCTCTCTGTGAGCTCTGTCTCGTTTCCTAAAACCAAAAGTCATTATCAAGCAAGATGTCTCTTGGGCATTTTAGACAAATACCTCAGTGGCAGATTAAACACTAAACGTGCAGCTGACCCTTATTACCTGAAGCTTGGGAGAGGAACCCAGGTGGGCAGAAGCCAAGCGGCGTGGCTGAACCCCCCGTCCAAGTCGGTGTAGAGCTGAGCCACTTGTTCATTCAGCATGCTGCGGATTTCCTTCCCATGGAGGCAGCTGCTGGCGGTCAGGATGATCAGCTCCGACAACGCCTCAAACAGATCTGAAAGAGTTCAAAGGGTTAAAACCTGTTACGTTTTGTTTATTTTCTGCAACGTTCCTATAAATTTTATATCTCAAAATTCAGACTCGGGCTTATCTATCAAATTTAGGCTTGAATTATCGAACTCCTAGAATACGGCTTGTGGATTTTGGTACACTAACTCAAACGGCAATTTTATTGGTTTGCTTTTAAGAATTACAGGTGCCTATTACACCATGATGTAAGCAGGTATAGTGACAAAATAAAAATCGGTAAAGCAAAAACCAAAATGTTTAATAAAATAATTTAGCTGTTTTGAGGCAGTTTATGGAGAATTTCAAAAGAGTTTCCCTAGGTTTGCTTTTAATTCTGTTTTTTGTCACAGATAAGGTTTGTCATTATGCAGATGACACAATAGTTTCTTTACTCGACTCCATTTTGTGGCATGTCATTTCAGTATAGAGCATATGTACCTTATTAAAATGTCAGATTATATCTTTATTAGCTCTACCTTCAGGTTTGCACCCAATGCACAGATGTATAATAAAACTTAAAACAGCAAAGCAGCTTACTTCTCTCTCCACTGTCTCCCCATCTCCTGAAATACTCAACGGTTTCTGACTCGATTAACTTTACATGCTCTTTAAAATGAGCGATGTTCAGTCCAGTTTTCAGCATCTTTTTCTGCTCCAGAAAAATCTGTAACAGAATAAAAGAGTGGTTAAATCTGAACTCCAATTGCATGTTGACCTCTAAATCGCTTGACGTGATCTCACAGGGTTTGGGACGTCGTAGGCTACTCCTTTCCCGAACACTGGGGTCGTCAGTTTGGAGTAGACGTCTTCTGCGTTCAGGTCTTCGTTCTTGCTGTTGAACATAAGCGTGGCCGCGTCGCTGCCCAGCAAGTAAGTGAAAGTTTTCCCCACCATGGTGAAGCTGAACACGGGACCATACTGGAGGGGGTGAAACAAAACTTGGTAAATAAATGAAAATTCATATTTACTTTGGAAATATTCCAATAGAAAACTGGTTGGTTTATTATAATGTCCTGGCTGAAACTCGGGCTTTTGGTTGGTTCAAAGTACCATAAAAGCAGGTTTGCTAGTAACAACTATATTATTTATGCCTTTGGCAGAAAACAATGTTCTGCCTTAAAATTTATATTAAACCGATTTCAAAAGTCTCCTAAATAAGCAATCATGTCCAACTGAAAACTAACACAGCACATCATGAGGAAACATGAGCTACTACATTATTTAATGTCTGTTGCTTTAGGTTTATACATCACATAAAATCTCAACAAAAGCATTTAAGTTTGAAGTTTTAACACAAATTAAATATTTGACTCTGTATTGCATCAAAGTTTACACTTTTCTGACTTTAGTTTGGATGTGCAGAAGACAATCTAGGATCATTACTTACTTTTTCATAAGCATTTTCCAGAAATTCAATTGGACTTTTACCAAAAGCAATGGCATGCCCGAGGAATGGGATGCTGGAGGGAATGTAGGGCGGATATTTCTGTAACAACAAAACAAAAACAATAGTTAATATAGACCTGGATTTTTTATTTTACAGTTTAAACAGTCAATATTTAACAAAACTGTAAATTACCGCGTCTTTGTCTTCAGACTCCTTGAGCAGCCTTTTGGAGACATAACCCAAAGTCAGGGTAAAAAGAGAAGCAGCCAGAACCAGGGAGGTCAAGTTCTCGTTCATTTTACCCATAGTGTCCCCGAGCAACTTGGTGCTCATCTGGTAAAACTGCGTCGACATTTTTCAGACCCTCAACAACCACAACGCAGAAAAGTTTCCTTCTCACTCCGGCAGCTGAAGCAGAAAGAACCAGAGAGGTGTCCAACTGCGGAGTCTTATCTCCGTTCAGCTGGTCTGATGGTCTTCGCAGTATGGACCGTTGCTACCTGTCACTTCCAGTTCCGCCCCCGCCTGACCGTTTACGGATTTTGATTGGCTACTGGACACGTGTCAGTCAAGCAGCTGCGATTGTGATTGGTTGTTGGTACCTGAAGCGATGTCTTGCTATATGATGTCATGGTAGCGTCCGTTCGATCGAGTTGATTGATTTTTTTTGTAAAATTTTCTTTGATAAAAGTGTCTTCGGCTGATAGAAAACACGTCAATGTCGCTTTTAGTTCGGTAAATAGTGTGGTGAATAGTTCGGGCTAATTCTGCCGAACCACAGAACCAGCCAGATATTCCTGAAACAAGTCTTCAAAAATTGTTTAATGAAATCGTGACCGGTTAAGTTAATGAGTAATCTGCCTTCTTCTGCGTACGTGATTATATGGGTATTTAAAAGAAACATTTGCAAAAAAAAAAAAAAAAGAAAGGCATTTTTTAATCACGAAACTATTTAAACAACCAGTTTCAATCATATCCACAGTTGGCAAGTTTATAGATGTATTTAGCTAACAAACTAGTTAAAGTCTATTAAAAATGTAACATTATCTAAGAAATAAAAACGCATAACATGTCCCGCTCTGTGCATAGTGGGATTTTCTTGTTAGTTTATTTATGCGACCAGTAAATTTGGTCACACTTATTTACTCCCAGTGGCAGATCTATACAAAATTTACCAAGGGGGTCGGTGGTGTTTTTTATATTATTTAGAGTTTTCTATTGACTTTGAGTCGTTAAACACAGATTACAGACAAATTTTCATAAATCTGTTTATTAAAACAAACATTAAATAATAAACCATATTTACATAGATCCAAAAGCTGGACTCATAATACACAAAGGCATGTCAGGACACATATAACTCTGACTGTTGTACAAATTAAGGCTGTTGTGGAGAGTCTAACTCTTTATCCAGAACTATTGTAGTCAGATGATGATGGTCAGTAGGAAGGATGTGCTTTCAGGTCTTTGACAGATCTGGTTTGTGGAAATGTCCTCAGCCGTAGGCGTATTTATCCGTAGGGCCTTTATCGATGTGAGTCATGTGTCCACTAAGTTTCATTAAAAGCTTCACAATTAGGCCCGCCTAGAAAAACACAAGAAGCAAAAGGAAATCACTTTAAAGATAAAACTATTCACCCTTCACTTCGACTGGCATTTCAGGCTAAAGTTTTATCTGTTCTCTGAGCGGAGAACTTTAAAAATTGCACATCCAAAGTAAATTTGAATAAAGATAAAGTCTGAGGACATCAAACCTGAACCCAGTTGGATCTATTGACGCTCCGGAGCCGTTACCTGTTTTGTGTGCACAATGAAGTTCATTTTGTTGTCCCCGCTGTGGATCTGGAAGTACTGGTCAGCATGTCCGAGCTGCCACATGAACGTGCCATACTCCAAGCTGATGAGAAGGACCTGCCACAGAAAGAAAGAAGAAATTATTGATTGATTGATTTTTTTAGTCAGCCACCAAATAAACTACAACAGCTTAAGCAGCTTGACTGAAATGTAAAATCAGAAACACAAAGCTTATATTTATGCCTGTCCTACACATCAAATTGAACTAAATTACTCCTCATAATCACTGCAATGTATTAAAATATATATACATATTCTTCTTATGGAAATTACGAAATCCAAAACAAAATAAATCAAATATACTAACAAGTTAAAGTTATTTACACTTGTAACTCTATGGCCCATGTTTGCTTTAGAAAAATACCTCTTTTTTTTAGCTTGTTTTTTAAATTTGAATCCATGTTGCAAATCATATTTGGATTCATATAATGTGAATATTTTTTGCACCACAGCTGGCAGTAAACCCACCTTTACTCTAAATATTATTTGCATTATTTTGTAATGAATCAAATCATAAAACCTTATGATCTACTAAACTGTGAATTTATATGTTCATAGCAACCAGCCTTATTAATAACAAAATATACTACAATAAAAGGAACTGTACTGTTTGTTTTCGTTTTATATCTGGAATCCCACACTTCCACGTTTATACATACGGAAATATAAATATATAAGAGTAAATTAGATGTAAAGCCTTATAACTTAATAGATTTCCAGAATTATCGAGTATTTCTATCGTTTTTTTATGTATTTAATGTGTTGTCTCCATGTTGAGTTATAATTGACAACAGTCCTCTATAATGTGATGAAGATACCTTGGTCTCCATGTTCATGAGGTGCAGGCCCTTCGTGTTGACCCCGACGTACACTCGGATGACCTTGTGGTTGCTCGCGCTGGCCTTGGTGTAGACCTGGCCGGTGAAGAAAGCTGCTCCGTAGGTTGGGATGTCCCAGCAGTTCTGGAGGAAGAGTCTCTGCAGGTGGTGCATCTCTTTGCTCACTCCCTCGCTGGTGCTCAGAGCCTGGTGGAGAACGATGGAGGGTTCAGCTTCAGGGAGGATTTTGCGACTGACGCGAAATAATAAGAAAGAAAAGTGTACTTTGTATTCATGCAGAATCCTGTTGGTCCAGTGGTACGCTTTGCTTTTCACCTTCAATATCGGTACGATTGACTTCAGGTTTTCCTCACTGTCCAAGTAAAACAATCAAATTAGAGACCCGGCTTCAGTAACTGAACTTTAAATACCAGAAAAACACTGGATAATCATATTGCTATAAGAAGTGAAATCAGTCCTACTTGAGGAAGCCTTGCTTGTGCTTCTTGCTTTCATAGTTGCCATAGATGATCTGCAGAAGGAGGCTGGCCAGAGTTATCAGTTTACTGTCCGGGGCGGGAAAGTAGCCCTTCAGCAGGCAGTGACGGGCCTCGTCAAACAGGATGAGGATGGCCAGCGGATCTTCCACCTGATTCAAAACAGTGGCAGGTAAGAGACATTTACAGACAAACAGCTACAAATGTGCACAGAATGTTTTCAATATTCTGCTAATGTCAAAAAAGAACAAATTTTGCAATTGCAGCGTTTCCATTACATAGGAAATTAAATTAAAATCACACGTGAATGAACTTGTTCGTGCAGTCATTAAAGAGCAGCGACGGATGTAAATATTTAAATGACGTATACTCATATTCAGTCATCAGAGGAGATGCATGGCATTTACAAACCGGAGTATTTTTGCAGCTCTGTGAAAAACACCAATTTACAGCTGGAAAACCTACAACAGCACTGAAGGGTTATATTAGATTTCTAAAAAAGGAGTCCATTTCCACCAACAAAAACTCAGAAATTTTGACAATCTCTGAAATTTTATTTTAAAAAATTTTTTAAAAAAGTTCTGAGTTTGAAAGATTGAAAATTTCCACACACATCATCCTAGTTTGAGTTTTTTTTATTGTCATATATCCAGTAAGCAAATTTGTTTTTCAAAATTCCAATTTTCAGAGTTTTATGGTCAATGGAGACGCAGCTTCTGACTCTAGCAAAGTAAAACCAAAAGTTTCATTCAAACTCTGTCGTACCTTCTTCTCTACTTCAAGAGGCAGTCGTACGTCTCTGCGAAGGAAGAGTTGCGGACTTTCCCTCTGAGGATCCAGAACCGTCAGATCCGTCACAATCTCCGTCCAGATCCGCAGATGCTGCAGAGGCTTGTGGTACGGCTTCAGCTGCAGGTCTGACACACAAACACACACCAATCGCTCTGCTATCTGTTCCTGACAACACTTAAAAGGACTTCAACAGGTTGATTCCGAATAAATAAATACACCAATTTTAAGACGTTAAAAATGAAACCCAATTGATTGCATTTTCTTTTATTCTAAACAAAAAGTCCCAAGCCGGAACCTTTGTATTGTGTTTCTGGAAGACCCATAAATCTGACGCACAAGTACAAACAACCACAATGGACGACAAACCCACGTTTCTTGGTCCACAAGGAGTTAATTTTTGTGTCAAAAACAATCTAATATAGGATGCTATAAACTAATATTGTTTGGTGCAAGTTGAGCAAATAAAGAGTTGGTCATCACTAAAGTTATTCAAGCTACAAATAGCAGCTCAATGCTAGCAGTACGGACATGTCCAACGCTAATGTTAGCGTCCAAATTCCTAAAAAATTACTTTTTCACATAAGTTGTACGTTAATGATCAGAAACAACTGAAATTTGAATGGGTATAAAATCACTTTGCACCAGTCTGATGGAGATTAAAAACAATAAATATATTTTATTTATTGAATAAATAGGCTCGTGTGCCTATTTATTCAATAATTTAGCAGTTTTCGATTAAAATGAGATTAATTACAAACCCCCCGTAATTAACTCAGTTAAAACTTTTAGCCCCACCAGTATTAAAAATAATCTAAACAAGCAAAGGATTGCATTTTTAGTATACATTTCAATACATCCAAGAGAAAGCTGTGCATATTTCACAATGACTGAGCTATTAAAAGATGAAGGATGTGACTCACGGAGGTTTTCTGAGCAGATCCAAATGGTGAAGTACTGCTGGGTCTCCTGGGAAAGCCGCATGCCCTCCATTATCTGCTGCACAGTTGTGTTGTTGCCGTGTTTCAGCTCCACAGAGCGATAGGAGCCGTCCATGCGGTATATTCGCACCTTTTCATACTGAAAACACAAACAAGCAGTAAAACTTGAGGGTTAGCTTGAGAGCAGGACGGTGTTTGAGGAAACAACACCACCTAGTGGCTAAAACTGCAAAATTTCTTAACTTTTTCAACAATATAGATTTTAGACTGGCTTGAAAACGTATATAATACCCCTCAAACTTCAAAAGTTCAAAAAGTATGTAAATTATTCTGTAGTATTTGTACCTCTTAAACTGATATATTCCTAAAAAGAAAAAACTCACTGGTTTGCTGTTAGCTTGCTGCAGAAGTTTTATTGTTTCCTCCCACTCGTTCTGTTTGTTCTCCTCACACACCTGGAGTGGCGATCTCTTCTGCTGGTCCTCTATGTGCTGAAGTCAGAAAAGTCACAAGAATCGACTTTAAGATAAAAACGATGCAGGAGGGGAAGAAACCAAAGTTTCTGGATAAAGACGTGTTTCCTACCCGGTCGATCTCTGGGTGCTGCAGGAGGAGCTTCACTATGTCAGCGTGGCCTCCTCTGGCTGCAAAGTGCAGCGGTGAGCTGAGCTGCCCGTTCAGCAGGTTGGGGTTGCATTTGCCTTTCTCCAGCAGTATTTTTGTTGACTCCACTTTACCGTGCCTTAAATAAATCAGATGTATGTCAAATAGGGGTGCAGTTTTCTGGCCAATCGCCGATTACGGATCTTTTAAACCTGCTGATTCCGATTTTGGCCGATACCAATTTTTTGTCTGAAATGTTGCTAAATATAGCTAGAAAGTTGTTGAGTTGGGAACAGAGGGGTAACTAAGCGTGTAAGCGTGCAGACATAACTTGTTGGGCCGGTCTGTCAGTCAAATCTTTGTCACCGGAGAGCAAAAGCCTGGCGGGCCACCAGGCTTCACTTGTGCCCCCACCAGGCTTAGCATTGTTTTAGCTCTTTTTAAATTATTGCCTTTTTTTAAGACTTTATAGTTGGTGTTCAGATATTAATCTTCCAATAACACAAAACTACCAGGTGATATTTTCAAATTTCCTGTCAACTTTAATAATTTTTTAACCCAAAAACATGGCGGCCGGCTGGATGGCTGACTGCCCTAACCCTGATCCATGCACATCCTGCTTAAAGCACAATGTTAAGATGCTATAAGATGCTGGAGGCTTGACCCACCAGCAAGCATAGTGTATGGGGGCCCAGTGGTCGCTGTCCAGCTGCTTGACCGAGAAGCCGCTGTCGAGGAGCTTAGAAAGCAGCTCTGTATCTCCTTCACAAGCGCTGCGGTGCAGAGGGAAGTCGTCCACCCACTGGTGATCCCTGTGAAAATGAAAACAATTACTCAGGTTTCAACTGGAAAGGTAAATCTGATGGTAAATTACAGCTACGACTAAAAATGTATTTAGAAATTGATTATCCTGATGATTAAATGATTAATCTGATGCAAAAATCTGCACATTTTGTAGTTTTTTATTTTATTTTAAGCACTTATGTCTTATTTATACAATACTAAAAATACATAAAAATATGCAAATAAACAATTCAAATCCTTTTTTAAATAAGAAAATAAACATCTTGTTGATCATTTGTAGCAAATGATGCATTTGCAGCTAAAAGAAAATACTTCTAACATCAACATGTGAAAAGCTCAACCCTTTCTTCAACTATACAGTTTGAGCTGATCTGTTGATTATTTTTTGGATTAACTGATTAATAATTGCACTTAGTTGAAGATTTTTTTATTACATAATTTGAAACGGTAGAAACTATAACTACACCACGTAAGGAGTTTTGAGTAGAACAGATTTATAAACTGTTTTCTTACATTAAATGCAAAATGTATCTATTTTTCATGCTATTTTGGCTTAATTACTGCCTTGAATGTCCTTTTTTGAGTCTGGAAGCTCCAGTTGACGATTAATCAACGACTATTTCAATAATAGATTAATCACGATTAATAATTTGAACGGTAAACGTTATTGTTGTTAATGTCAGAATCAAAGCCTCACTTGTCTTCTCCCACGCAGTTATGCTGCCATTTGTCCCTCTTAGGGATTTGGATCTTGGAGTAGTCTGGTGCTCCGAGACCAAAGTAAGGGTTAATGATCACTTTATCCACCTGGAACAAGAGAGAGAGAGAGATCATTATGGGTTCAACAGAAAGAGAAGCTGCGATGAAAACAGTATCAGGTTTCTGAGTGACGGGATCTCTGACCCGGTTAGTGTACTGCAGGTCCGAGCCAAACAGAGGATTCAGGATGCACATGTCCGCCTTCTCCAGGGACATCATCTTGCTCTTGATCTCCAGAGCGGTGTACCCCATGTGCAGACCCTCGTCGCTCAGTTTTCCCTCGCTGCTGTAGGCTGGGTTGTTCACGTTGGTTTTGACTCGCTCAACAGGAGCCGGCCTGAACAGGGCGGGGATGGCGTGAGGGACAGTGTGCTGCTCCGCTAACCATCTGCAGAGGTGGAAAACAGAAAAACTCAAGCCTGATCTACTCATCCCAGCTCAGCCAGCAGGGTAATAAGGAAGTGTCCTCACTTATCTAAAGCCAGGAGCATCCTGGACGTGACGGAGCAGAAGTGAGGGCTGGTCTCACTGCACACACGCATGATGTCCTGGAAACAGTAGAAGCTCGGGCTCCCAGAGATGTGGATGGGTTTGCTGTTATCTGTGCAGGAAGACTCATTAATCTACAGCCAGCAGAGCAAAAACTACAGCAACATCCACAAGTATTAACTCTTCTCTAAATCATTCACATTGACAGCCACAAATTTGGTCTTCATGGACGTGAAGACAAAGAAAGCATACAGATTAAATGTTATTGTTAATATAAGAATTCAGGGTTTCCCTCAGTGTATTATAAGCCTGGCGGGCCACCAGGCTTTACTTGTCCCCCACCAGGCTCATCATTGGTGGGGGACAACAACTAAAAAACAACAATTTATTAGTTGTTGTTTTTAATGATTGACTTTATAGTTGGTGTTTAGGTATTAATCTTCCAGTCTTCTAAAAATGCATAACCATCAATTGATATTTTCCAATTTCCTGTCGACTTTAACCATTTGTTAACTCAAAAACACGGTGGGCGGCTGAATGACTGCCGTAGCGCCCTGAGCACCAGGCTTAGCAAGTTTTCTGAGGAAAACCCTGGACTTAAAACATAGTGGAGCATACAGACTCTCAATACGTTCAACCCAGATCTCCTCAAACAGCATAGTTTTAGCTTCACCCGGTTCAAATTCGGTAAAATAAATCTCAAATTAAGCACCTTTTGCTATCCGACTATCATTTAATCCCCAAACCCAGTCGATGGATCAACCTACACTGTACTGACAGAGACTTTGCAAAGAAGAACCAGGTCTCTAATTGTGCAAAACTGGTAAAAACCTATCCCAAAAAAAACATTCTTATTCCACATCACAATCAAGCACGACTTTGTGTTGGTCTATCACATAAAACGTGACAAAATGTGAAAAATAAAAACAGTGAAACCATTTTAAACTCACCTTTAACGCTGACTGGCACCACAAACAGAGAAGCCTCTTTCCCTTCATTGTCACCTTCAAGGATAAATTTCTTCATGTGCACCACACGCTTTCCTGCAAAGCAAAACTCTTGAGCTGATCTCAGGTTGTATCAGACGACGTGTTTGTGCGAGTCAGTCTCATCCTCACCTGTGAAGCTTTGGTTATTGGAGATTGGTTTTATTGTTTCGTCAACATAATCCAATATGGATTTAGATTTGTCTCCTGGCTTAATCTTTGTCACCAGAAGGACTTTCTTCCGCTTCTTCTCCTTCCCCTCCAAAGGCACTTCTTTCAACAAGATCTTCACAAGCCAGAGGGAAAAAAGACTCAATTATTAAACAAATCCTAGAAATATTTAATTCTAGCTCGGCATACCTCATAAGCTTTGGCTCTATATTCCTTCGAAGTCAGGCTGACTTGGTTCTTTGGACGAATGACGGCAACGTAGACGTCCTCTGAGCCGTCCTCGTTGCCCATTGTGCCGTATTTTCCTCAGGCGCAGGTTACCGTCCAACAGGGAGGCCAGATACTGTGGAGAGGCATGTCTGAAACAACAGAAAGCATCAAAGCTGTTTGTTTAACGCAGAAAATGGTCACTCATGCAACAGCTAGCAAAACCTATTAGTATTTTTTAGATAAAATATAAACTTTAATCATAGATGTAAACAGGGTTTCCCCCAGAAAACTTGCTAAGCCCAGTGCTTGGGGCGCTAGGGCAGTCATGTTTTTGAGTTAAAAAAAAAATGTTTTAGCACAATATTAGAAACTCAAGAAAATAGTTGAATTCCTTCTTTAAATAAGAAAAAAAAACAAACACATTTTATTTCCTAAAATATAATAACACAGCATTCCTCTTGTGAATCTGAACAGTTTCTATGCAAAATGTATATAATTTTGTCCAGTTTTGGCTTAATTACTATTTTACATAGGTTTTTTTCTTTTCAGCAAATAGACTTTTTTTAGTCTGAATATTCCAGTTAAAAATTAATCAGATTGATAAATTAGTTGACGATTATTTCAATAATGGAGTAATCACGATAAATCCAATTAACTGTTTCCTCCTAACTTTACCATGAGTAAATGCTGAATTCAATCCATGTACCTTCACATCAAGACATAAATATATATAATCATATTTCTACCCAAAATCTTGTTTCCATTTCCTTTTCTTAAGAATTGTTTTTATAACATTTCTCAGCTCCTATGTAGGATTTATACTCAAACAATTCCACTTTAGATGTGACTTTTAAGTTGTTTTAATTCTTATGATATACTTTTTTGGTTTCTTGATTGTTGTTGTCCAACTTACTTAGAAAAAAGAAGTGACCATTTCTGTAGCTTTAACTAATCAAAACAGAAATAAATTGTATATGTGGTAAAAACTAAAACTAAAATTAAACAGATTAACTGGAATATTGGGTTTTTTTAGGTCAAAGAAAAACCTCTAGAAAAGAGCCATTATTTATCATGGGTTCATTAATATATATATTTTTGCACAAATTTGGAAAAATAACAATAACACAAAAAGGCAGATTGAGTTATTGCATCGGTCGTTTACTTTAATGTATTAAACGTATTTAAAGCAATCACATGGAGCCAAATGTAGTAATCAATATCAACCACAACACAGTCGTTGAGGCTTTATCGACCTAAAAACTACTTCAGGTTTTGTAATACTTTCTTAAAGTCTACCTCTTTACATTGTAAACCTCTTGTGTACTATTCCTGTATTTGTTATTAGATATTTAATAATACATTAATATTCAAGAGATAAAAATAACCAACATCTCACAAACCGACTTGAGTTCAAAGGAAGGTCACGCCCCGGAAACCAAACTGTTGACTTTAACTGTTTTTTTTCCATAAACTATAAAATTATAATCTTGAACGCACACGCTCCTGTCAGATGTGGCGTATTTACATATATTTTCTTGCCAGGAAAAAACAAAGTCCAGATACTCAACTCCATCAGCTTGTTTTTTAGCAGAGGGTGCTACACTCACCGTCCCCAGTTTTCCGCTCCATAATCAGCTGAAACTTACCGGATCCGCCGAGTCCGCTCCTGAAACGGACCGAGCTTCTCTTCCGCTCGGCTCTCCGGTGGCTTTCAGCGGCTTTGATACGCAAGTCGAGACCAGAAAGTTACTCCAGGTTACAAACCGGAGAGAGCGGAGTTTTGGGGGAGCTTGAAGCAGTCGTAGGCCTTTTCAGGCAGGGCAGGGTTGCAGACACAAACAGAGGAATCACGTTACGTTTCAATGAGCTGTTACACAGCAGCGACCTCTGGTGGTGAGGTAGCGCAGGTGCAACAGGATATGGTGCTCTTCTTTTTTTTTTTACCCGAAAACCACCGCAAATTACTAGCAAAACCTTTAAAACTGTAAAACTCAAACTTTCACGCCTTTTCTAACCACAAGGAAAAAACCAAGTAGCTAAAAGTAAATTTTCCACAACATTGATTTTAAACATAAATATTGTACCGTGTCAGAACTTAAAAATTACAAACATATTTGGGCTATTATTATTGTTCTCATCATCATTTGTTATTGTGTTCGACATATGTGTTGTTTCCCCCCTAAATAGCTAAAATAAGCTCATACCAGTTTGTAGCTAACTTAGCTTAGCACAGTTACTAGGCAACCATCAAACGTCTTGGAAAAACACAAAACAGGAAGTAAATTAGCTGTATCTATGAGAGTATGTGGTAAATTAATATATATAGAACGCAGGAGAAAGGAGCAACTGCAGTCTAGTTTTTAAAGTGGAAACCTTGCTTATCTCAGTTTCCACACAGTAGAGACAATATTTGACACAAACTCATGGATGACACCATGAGTTGTTGGCAACCTCTGCTAATCCACCTCATTTGCTTTGCTGCTTCTCTTTAATTTTAAACTATAATCTTAGGCAGCATCAAAGTAACAATGAAACAGTGTTAAAATATTGCTTGGTTTTTTTGTTTAAATACTGGTAAACATACATTTTTATTCTAAATATTTGTGTTAATACCGTGAAACTGCTTCTACTCAAGCTTATACCTCAAATACCTAAGAGTGGTGTAAGTTTCCTTTACACGCCCACATAAAAAGTTTGACGCTAAAAAAGTTCAGCCTAACAATAACTCATGACGACACCAATTTTTATTACTGCTAAACATCATGCCACCCATTTTCATTATCACGTTCAACAATGACAGAAAAATAAATTGACACCAACAAGATGAGTCATGCAGTTTAGTTCCTCCCAAAACCAGTTTTTACTCAACCATGTTCAATAGATGGATTATGAGTCACTTTTGAGGAAACGTTGTTTTTATATAACATATGGATGGATACGTTTGAGTTCTACGAGTGCCTTGTTAAAAAGGAAGAGTGGTTTTAGGGAGTGAACTCAACACATTCTTTTCAGATTAAGTGTTTTCGCCAGCTCAAGCAGGCTTGCGTTAATTTTCTGTCTCCTGTATTTGACGTCCAGATCATATGCTGGAGAAAGTAACCTAGAAACAAATATGGAACAACTTCAACAATAATTTATTCATTTAGTTGAACAGATTGTATAAAACTTCAGCATTTATTGAGATGCGACACAAAGCAGCATAGAGTCATAAACTGAGTCGATACTAACCACACCGAAGCAGCTGCAGCACCCATGCGGACATGTTACATGGCTTTGGTTTTTCTACAAGTGTATATTTCTTTTTAAATATTACATAACTAATTATTTTTCCTGCTTAGATTACAGTCTGGGATTGCTGCCAGGATGTCCTCTGGCAGCAAACCCAGAGAACATCCTTTCTTTCTTGGTCTTGGTTCAGGTCGAGTTGCTTTTACACCGTTGGAGAATGTCTTCCATCTTCATCTGGATCTCAGACACCCTCTTGGCCCACTTTTCGCGCACCTCGTCTTCATCATCCTCAGTGACGGCAGTGTACCCCATCAGCGCGATGAGGCCCATGTGGAAGAGGTGCGCGATATGAGAGCAGTGGCGCTCCATGGTTTCATGGAGTGGCACTTTGTTTTCCTTGCAGTCATCAAAGTACACATCCAGCAGAGCTCTTCCAAACACCGTTTTTACGCCCATCACACCACGATAAAACACATCCAGGCCCAAATCTGACTTGTCTCTCTCGTAAATCTTTTCAAAGTTCTCCATGTACCTCTGGGCATTGTCTGGGTCTTTCTTCACCTGGGCCACCATGCTGTTGAAGGCAGTGTACTGGTGCTTGATGTACTCCTCATACTTCCCGTATGTTTCGTTTACCTCGGCGATGCGGATCTGGCTCAGGCATTGTTTGTTTTTCTCAGAGATGCTCTCCAGTTTGGTGTGGATAGCCTGGAAGTCTTTGTCCAAGGCGTGGCTCTCATCATCCGCCAGGCCCTTTCTTGCCACACCAACCAGAGAGGAGACAATGCCAAAGATGGGGTCAATGGAGGAGGCGAAGGAGGACACCTTCTCCACGCAGCACAGGACTTTGGCTGCAGTTTTCTTGATTTGTTGAGCATCAGCCATAACTGCAAGTCTACTTCCACACTGATTGACTCTGGAAGATGAACAAATTGAATGTAAAAAAACACCATGTCGTGTGACCCTGTGCCAAACTCTGAGTTAAGAACTTATAGAAACATGATTACTGTACAAGCAGATAAAAGTTAATATTTCAAACTTTAATATCTAGATTGTCTTTCAAAACTGCAGAAAGAAGTTTAAAAAAAATTATCCATACACTGACAGACATGTTCCACCACAGAGTTTGTGGGTGCAGTTTTTCTCCAATTGCCATCAACTCAAAACCACCTTTTTATTTCCTTTATGGGTTTCAGTTCTAAGAATTCCCATTGATGATATTAAGTAAATATATCCTGAATATCTGGTTGAAGGACCAGGAGTTTAGAAGTGCTGCAGGGCCCTTTTAATGCCTCATGTACCTCCAGGTCATGCATTAGCCTGCTTGCTTTCAGTAAAAGAAAATCCAGCTGTAAACTAGAAAACATGAAATGCACTTTATGGCGTAGATTAAAAGTTTTCAGCTTCAGGACTCTCTTCAGTGAAGACAAGAAGATTGATGCATGATCTGCCATTTGTTTCATTTCCATAGTTTTTGAAGTTTTGATTGTAGAGCATAGTTTTTACTTTACCTGAGGAGGAGCACCTTTTTAAAAATCAACTCAAAGGTGTAATGTTTAGAAGTAAAATAACATTTTTAAAAAATCAACTGATTTGATTGTCCAACAAAATAGTCCATCAGACATTTGGAAACGGTTTTCATCTCCATTTAAGAATTTTATTGGAATATTTACGCTAAAAAACTAACATCAAAGGAGAATATTTTCCATCACTGTTTTTTTTAAATATAATGTAATATAATTGCCACTCAGTTGGATGAAGGGTTTTTGCCTAGCTGACATTTATTCCAACCACTAAAAAGGAAGAACAATTGTCAAATATATCGAGAATCCCATGTTAATATTTAAAACATGTTTTATTTATATATTAAATCAATGTTGTTGTTGTTTTCAGACTCACAACTGCATGCAAGTTTCCATGTAAAAAAAAAACTACTTTAAAGTGTCTTCGTCCTGATGAAGCCATATGGAAATGTTGCTAACATACATGCTAATAGTTCACCAGAAAGAGGCAGTCTTTTTTAAGGTCTCTTGTATTATTTTATGCAGACTAAACTAAATTATTGGGACCTCAGCACAAATCGTGTTGTATTGGATCTCTGTCATAGTTGTGACATTAATCATCCCGCTCAGTCTTGTTCTCCTGGAAAAATAACTCGGAAACAACAGTAGGTGTGTCTCCATCTCTACGAACACAAGCCGAACTGGAAACAAGAAAAATGCGGGCAGGTTAGCAACATTCTACGAAAAGTTGTTTAGCATCCTAAAACAGCCTCGGGTAGCTGTTTTATTTCCCATTTTTAATGTGAAACTCTGGATGCGTTTGTTCTCAGGCTCCCATTTCCTGATTTTCAGCTGCTTAACATGACTGAACCGGTCATGATCCTATCAGTTCCCAGCTGGATCCAGCTATCACACAAAGATCCTAAAAATCCTTCAGATCAGAGATAAAAAGCCAGAAAGACTCACCGTGTTTACTCACCAGAGATAAAACTGTTTGTATCCCGTCCGTCTACAGCCGCTGTCTGATTCTGCTTTCCACCATTTTCCACACCAGTTAGCTAAAGCCAACCCCTCATTGCCAAATAAGGGCATAAGCAACAGGAAGTGGCTGAGGGCTGTCCTGTTCTGATTGGCTGAGGAGGACTTCCTTCATCTGCATCACTGGAGTTCTAACCACAGTCTTTTTGACCTTCATCTTATCTTATTAATTATGGTTTCTCCCATCCTCATACCTTAACTGGGAAGGAAATTCGTAGTAAAGAGAAATGAAAGCAAAACATACTTAGTAACAAATACTTTTATATTTTGATCTAAGAGTTCATTAAAATTCTCCTCATACATTTGTGCATGGTTCCTTTTCATTTTTAATTGCGGGATTGGCGTCAGGTTTTTAAATATTGTGACAAAGCATTAGAATGAGAATAGACTAAACACTATATTTCTATGAATGGGCTTTTATGTATGTAAAATAAGTCTGTAATTTTATTTTATTTCTAACTACATCTCCAATCAACACAAAGGAAGCAAAAATGAATAACTACAAAAAAAAAAACATAAATAAGTTAAAATACACAAAATAAAAACAAGTATGACCACACAAAAGTTAATCGGTTGCTTAAAATAATACTTGACCTTTTATTTTATTTTATTTTTTTCTTATTTCTATTTATTTATAACAAATACACCAAGAAGTTAATGTCATGATAAAGGTTTTAATTGCAGTATGTTGATTTAAAATTATGTGTATCCCAATCCTGAGGGCTCCAGAAGAACAGACAGCAATATAATCTGCTAAGGATTTTCATTACTTTGACTTGATGACCTGAAAAAAACTTAGTTTTATATGTTAAATTAAACTTACGTTTATTCAAGTACAGTTCCCTGGCTAAAAGTTAAAATGTCTCAAAAATAAAGCATAAAACTGTGATGACTCCAACACATTTTTCTCAGACTGTAAGACAAGTTTATATTTAAATAAAATCTTCTTCATCTGTTTTTGTTTGTGCTTCCTCATTGTTATATTTTCATAAGCACTGCAGACTACACTACCTTATAAAAGTTGTGAATTTCATGTTTTTAAATAAGTGTTTCTGCTTGTAAGAAGAAACTAACTTTAAATATGAATATATATATATATATATATATATATATATATATATATATATATA